GGCAGGAAGTAGCCCAGATTCCGGTGCACATGTTGGAATGTGCAGAGGGGAACTTCAGAAAACGGTTGCATCAGTGCATAGAGAACAGTGGCCACTGCCTTCAAGATATTTTGTTTAAAACTACATTATTTAAAACTTTAAAGTATGTTCTTTCATTAGCTAAAAATAAATATTGTCTATCAGTGATAATTTTTCTTTTATTAGCCTTCAAAAAAAGGAAGTTTCTGTGCCCCAGCCTGTACTTCTATTTCCCCTGACAATTTTCATTCCACTGATTGCTCCACACACTCATCTATCATCTGGAGCTTGAAGAATAGGCCAGGGAGCACAAATATAACCTGACACAAGGTCTGCTTGAAAAATGAAAATTATCCCAACATGCATANCCAGCACCACTTTGTCCACTACAAATCCCGCTTGACCAGACCCGGGTTTGAACCCAGGCCACCGCGGTGGCAAGCCAGCGACTAACCGCTTGAGCTATGGTGCAGCCGCCAAGATATGTTAACAACACTTTCATGGTTTCGCTGCGTGGACTAGCAAGATTACAGCGGTTTTCTTCATCATCTGAAGAGTGTTAGACCTACCATCAAATTCAAAATTGGCGTTGAAAGTAATGATACCCATCTGTTCTTGGACGTTTTGGTCATAAAGAGGCATCCAAAATTCAGCAAGAAAGTGTACCAGAAACCTAGTAATACTGGTTATTATCTGCACTTCAAGTCCAGCCACCCACATCACATGAAAAAGTGAGTTCATAGTTTGATCAGTTGAACCAAGGTCATATGTCAGGCCAGAAGGGTTTCAGCAATAAAATTAAGAACATAAGACATGATATGAAGCTTAATGAATACCCACAAGAATTTGTTGACTTCATAATGAAGCCATCAGGAAGCAACAGTCCACCTTCAGATACAAGCTACCATGGCACAGTCAGTATCCCACATACTAAGGGCATCTCTGAGAAATTCAGGTGCATTGGAAACCATTTCAGTGTCAGGGCCATTTTCAGAACTAAACATACACTCCATGGAACATTGATGAAAATTGGAGTGGTTAGAGATCCCCAGCAGACGAAGCAATGTGTGCACAATATCCCATGTGATTGTGGCAAATGTTACATTAGCAAAAGAAGCAGACATTTTAGAAGTGTGCATTAAAGAGCACAAGAGGCCATGCCATAGCTCAGGCAGTTAATCGCCTACTTCCCACCATGATTGCCTGGGTTCTAGCCCAGCTCAGATCATGTGGGATATGTGGTGGACGAAGTGCCACTAGGGCAGGTTCTCTTGAAGTACAGGGTGGGGCGCAGAAACTTCCTTTTTGTGAAGACGCATTGTGAAGGGAGGGGAGGTTGCAAAAAAGTGTGGATAGGCTCGGCGAACGCAGCAGTTTCTGTCTAATACCCATCAGTAGGGAACATAAGGTGGACAAGTGAGCAGCATGCGTTTGGTGTCAAAACCTATTTTTTGAACAACCATTCCTACGTGGCGGTGCAGTGTGCATTCCATACTCACTTTGGAATTAAGCCCAAAGGTCCGGTTCCCGGCCAGAAATCGATTGTTTTGCGGGTAGAGAACTTTAGGACAACTGGGAGTATGGTGAAAAAATCATCAGGACAACAACGGACCGTTACGACACCAGAAAATGTGGAGGCAGTTCGACAGTCGATTGTGAGATCTCCAAGACACTCTGCTCGCAAACATGCAGTCACCCTAGACATATACAGTCGTTCAATGCGCTGAATTCTTCACGAACATCTTCATTTCCATCCCTATAAGATGGTTGTTGTGCAAGAATTGTCACCACGTGATTTCCAGAACCGAATAACGGTGTGCGAAACATTATTGGAAACTTTACCCCCCTGACACACTTGTTTTCTTTAGTGATTAGGCACATTTTCACCTATCCGGATATGTCAACAAGCAGAATATGCGCTGTTGGAGTGGTAATAATCCCAGAGAGCTCCATGAGAGGCCACTTCACAGTGATAAGGTGACAGTATGGTGTGCGTTATCGAGAGTTGGAGTTATTGGCCCTTATTTTTTTGAAGAAGACAATCATGCAGTTACTGTCAGTTCACAGCGGTATGTGGACATGATTAAAAACTTTTTCGAACCAGCTCTTGAAGAAATGCATGTAGGAAATGTCTGGTTCCAACAGGATGGTGCCACAGCCCACACAACCAGAGCTTCGATGACAGTTCTGAGGGTAAAGTTCCCTGGATGGCTCATCTCGCTTCAAGGTGACATCCTGTGGGCAGCGCACTCACCTGATCTAACGCCCTGTGATTTTTTTATGTGGATACCTCAAAGCAGAGGTTTTTAAACATCGCCCCACAAACCTGCTTCAACTGAAGAATGTTATTCGGCAGGAAGTAGCCCAGATTCCGGTGCACATGTTGGAATGTGCAGAGGGGAACTTCAGAAAACGGTTGCATCAGTGCATAGAGAACAGTGGCCACTGCCTTCAAGATATTTTGTTTAAAACTACATTATTTAAAACTTTAAAGTATGTTCTTTCATTAGCTAAAAATAAATATTGTCTATCAGTGATAATTTTTCTTTTATTAGCCTTCAAAAAAAGGAAGTTTCTGTGCCCCAGCCTGTACTTCTATTTCCCCTGACAATTTTCATTCCACTGATTGCTCCACACACTCATCTATCATCTGGAGCTTGTAGAATAGGCCGGGGAGCACAAATATAACCTGACACAAGGTCTGCTTGAAAAATGAAAATTATCCCAACATGCATAAAGAAGGCCACAAAATATGTTGGAAAGAAGTGAAGATCTTGCAGAGTGAACCAAACACCACATACAGGAAATACAAGAAATCCCTCCACATGTCTCTGATAGATCATCCTATCAGTCAACCCAGCTTGGACGTCTCTCCCGTCTGGACTCTTGTTATCACAGCAGAAGTAAAAAAACTATAACTCTGTCCAGTGTAGATTAAGTGGGATAATTGGTTTTCTGTGTTGGTACCATACAGAGGATTTATCTCTCCATTGACTTGTATTCTGATAGTACTCTAGTGCTAGGTCTCATACATGTGGAATTCTTAAATGTTTTAATGTTTTGTCTTAACTCTCACAGATGGTTTGTGCTGTGCTTGGTTTGTATAGCCTATCTTGTGTTGGTATTGGTGTCCAGAGATAGGGACTAGCTCTATCGATTGGGCCCCGCTTAATAGGTTTTACCTGATCGCAGAGAGAGAATCCAGTCTCTGAAATGTTATGTTTTAAATAAAAACAGGATGGTTAATGTCCAGAAACATAATATTTGTATTAACGTACCGTCATGACAAACTTTTAGATCTTAGATAATTTCATGCATGCTATATGACTTGCATGCTTTAAACTTTATTATATGGTGCTATGTTAATATATGTTTCATGTATCAGTGTAATCACGCAATTAATTGAGCAAAAGATTGTTTTTTTGGAATGTTTTACATTTAAAAAGAGTGAGAATTGTTTGAAAATCTTTTGCATTTTAAGAAGTGTGTGAATTTAGATGTGGCTAAGATGCTGTTTTCAGATGGTAAGATCGTTTGGCATTTCTCAAAATTAGGATATCAGTTGAGTGCTGCTATGTTACTATGATGGACACTGAGCAACATTATTCACAAGCCCATTGATCTCTGACTTTTACCTATAACAATCTTAAAATCTAAGTTGTCTACAAAATTTGATGCATGCAGCATTTATCTCCTGTATTTAACCATTTAAATAACAGTTTCTACTGTTGGTACCACCTGATTTAACATTAACAATTCTGTACCTTGCCTGCACAGCATATTAATATGTTTTGTATGATCCCAAGAATAATCTGCAATCATTCATATATACAGCATTAAGTAATTGGTGTTTAAAGCAGTGACTTTTCTTTGACATAGAAACTTATGATGTATGTATATATCACTTGGCTGCATTTCAGGCTTCAGAATTTAAAGACACATTAAATGTCACAACCTAGAACACTTTATTTTTATAGGACAGTTATATTAATTTGTGAAAATCTGAAGAGAAAGCAGATAATCAGAGTATTGAAGACTGTTTATACTGTATAACATCACAGCGTGGCATGAACAACTGGACGACATTAAAGAATCCTATTTTTCAAACAACGGAACTGTGACATGGTAGACACTCATCTTCCTTTAAAGAGAAGCAGTATAAGGACACGGACCAAGTTGGTTCTAGATTTTAACAAAGTTTGTAAACCATACTTGTAAATAAACTAATTGTAATAATTTATAACTATTTTAATAAATTCAGGCACATTGCTGTAATTGTTAATGGCTAATATTTTATATTCATGACATTGTAATGATATTGTATGTATGTATTGATGATGACCAGTCACATTGTAATAGTAGTTTCTGCATGTCCTTCTGAAGATGGTCTCTTTGACCAAAACATGTCAAGGATGGGAGATTAAAAAGGAGAAAAAACATTTATCAGTCACACTGGACAGAGTTGATAATCTTTTATACTATTACTAGTGTGACGGACCAGGATGAACGAAGTCAACCCGTTTATACTGATTTGTTTGTCTCTTAGCTTGTGACAGTCCTTGCTGCCAGGCAACTAACAGTCACTGCCATCTTGTTTGGATGTTAGAAGTATTGATGTTATGGCCTTGTAGGATGGAGTGCTCGGTAGTTCAGTAAGTAGGAACCTATATATTGGTGAATATGCTGCCTCTCTCTACCCTGCATATGGCTCCTCTAAAATGTTAGTACCTGTCTACCAAACTGTATTGTGTCATTTTCCAGAAGACTGTGATCTTGAATACTCATCAATGTGGGAACCTGAAATCTCATATAGAATCGTCAGCTTTCAAAGTATTGGAACAAAAACCTGAGGGATATGTAATGAGCCCTTCTGGAAAGAAAGAGCATGGTGTCATATGTGTAATGGTTGAGAGGGCCCTTCATGCAATGGGCATAAAGGGCAAGTCATATGATCAAAATATGGTCACACTTGGTAAGCCTGTGTTTCAGTATGTGTGTAATATGCAACATACTGTTTAAATGTCATATGTGATATACATATTTTTCTAATTGGAAAACAGTATTAAATGTTGATATTATATTCAGTTTGTTTATTACAGCAAACTTTAATTTAGATCTTTTTTATTATGAAGTTCAAGTCCCGATGAGGTCATTGGATTTTTTTCCATTAACCTAATCCTTCCAGCTGCACTATGACCCTGGGGTCAACTCAGCCTCTAGCAGAAATGAGTACCAGGAATGAATTAAATAATTTTCCTGGGGAGTAAAGCGTGGCCGGCATGTAAGGCTAACAACCTTACCGTCATCTATGAGCCGATTGTCTAGATAATGTGGGAGCCTCAATGTCTCACAACCCTATGGGCCTTCACGGCCTGGTACAGGGATAGCTTTACTTTTCATTTACTTGAAAACATACATTGTAGTCACCACAAATCCTTTATACAGATGCCTCACTACTTCAAAATATCATACCAAACTACAAATTAATATGCAATATCTGGCATTTGTATCCAAGATAAGACCTGTAATTAAAGAAATGTCCAAAGCTACAAGAAGGTTACAGTCGTCAGGCATATGACTCCAATTACTTTGTTGGTGAGGTGCCAGCAGTTTGGAGGAACCTGATACATTCATGAAGATGAAGGTAGCAAGTTGCTCCAAAACATTGATACATGTCTCCTAGCCTATACAGTGTCATATCCCAGAAGGCTGTAACTTTCATATTTACTGCTGTGAAAATCTCAAACCTCCTAGTTCAGTCAGATCTGTGTTATGTCCTTTTCCACTTCAAAATCATTTAAGCTTGTAACATAAAAGCTATTCCTATAAGATTTGTATCAGCTAAACATGAAAAACTATTATGTAGATAAATCATAATGTTATGCATATGAAAAGTTGACATGTTGCTATAGGACTGGGAGTGGTTATCTTGAATGAGATTATAATAAATCATTTCTTCTTCTTCTTCTGTGGCGCAACAGCCCCATGTCGGGCCTTGGCCTCCCTTATTAAGCCCCTCCATTCCTCTCTATCCTGCATTGCTCTCTTCCAGTTCCTTACGCCCGTTAACTTCTTTGCACCAAATTTCTTATTGCCTTCTGCTTTACCACTGTAACATATAGTACGTTTCTTTAAGTCCATGATTCCTTTACCCAGCCATCTAATTTCCTGTATGGCTGTGATTTTCATATTGTACTTATCTATCTGTTCTAGTACAGATTTCATGGCTCCCGGTTTATTGAGGGTTTTCACATTCCATGTACCTAGAGAGTAGTCCATATTCTTTGCCAAAAGTCATCTTCCATTCTGTTGAGGTTTATGAGGCTTGATTCCAGGTTTCGAGACATTTATATTTTTTTACGGTGAGAGGTTGTCAGCCTCTCGCCCAACCCCCAACCTGGAAGGCCAGTGTATCTCTTTTAGTCTCGGTCATCCCCTTTGACCTGTCCGGCATGGGTGGCCCTACCAGTAGCTATGCTACTGCTGGCATAGCTCTCAGGGTTATTTGACCACGCAAGCCCCTCCACTGCGTTAAAGTAGAAACACCATCGGGAGGGAATAAATCATTTAATGGTATGAATAAATAAATATATATTGTATTTATAATATAACATGGATATAAGACAGTTCCACTTCTGGGAATTTGTATAAAAGTAATTCCAGAAGATTACATTGTTCTGGATTGAGACACTGTGAAGCTTAGTAGATAGATACTGATCTTTCACATCCTCTTCCCTCAAGACGACAAGATGCTCTGAAACACTGGTACCTGTTTACCAAACTATGTGGTATTAAAGTTGCTGGATACCATAGCCTTCATATTCACTAAATCTCTAATCAACAGCCCCCCCCCCTCCTACAGTTTTAATGATGATTCAGATTTTCTCGCAGCCACAGTTTAATATAGTTCTGAAGTAACAAATAAAATTCAATTGCTATAAAGTTGTTTGTGTGGGGGCACGCGGCAGTGTAGTTGGTTGAGGCACTATGCTACAAGCTGGAAGTTCACGAGTTCAAGTCCCGATGAGGTCAGTGGATTTTTTCAGTTGACCTAATCCTTCCAGCTGCACTATGGCCCTGGGGTCAACTCAGCCGCTAACAGAAATGAGTACCAGGAATTAATTAAATAATTTTCCTGGGGAGTATAGCGTGGCTGACAACCTTACCACCATCTTTGAGCCGATTGTCTAGATGAGGCATGTCCAACGTGTCGATTGCGATCGACCGGTCGATTGCGGGACAATTTTTGGTTGATCTCATAGGCCTATAAGGAAATTATACGTGAAAAGCATGTACATTCACTTGTAATATAATATGGTTATATTCAGATTTTGAAGGGAAACTACGTATTAGTCATTCCTGTTTTTCAGTTCTTATGTAGCTTACGTGAAAATTGCTTTACACTTGTGTTAAGTGAACTGTGGGGAAGTCCCTTCTCTATCCTTATCATGTGAACTCTTATTTTTACCAATAGTTTTGCTTCAAGCAAGGTACGATGATATGAGGGGGTGGTAGATCACTGGCAGTTTTGACACTAAAAAGTCGATCACAACCTGTTTGAAGTTGGACATGCCTGGCCTAGATAATGTGGGACCCTCAACGTCTCACAGCCCTATGGGCCTTCACGGCCTGTTGTAGGGATAGCTTTACTTTTTTTGAAGTTGTTTGTGTTTGTAGCTAACAGCACCACCTGTAATAAGAACAATGATTGCTTTGTACTCTTGATGACTTAAAACTTGAGGTGTTTTGTTTTGTTCATGATTATAAGAAAATCTCCGATTTTCCAGATGTTAAATAGTGAATAAATCATTTCTCTTAAATTCAGGTAGATATAGTAACTACCAGAGTTCACTAACTACAATAATACACTGCAACGCATGGTTCCAGAAGTACAACTTAAATCTACTGACCACTTAGCAAGATCCACTCTCAGTGTGCTTCATACAGATATTTTTATAGGAGATAAGCTCCATAAATGTGACCTAAAATTGTTAGCCAGGTAACGGAATTCACTCACTCATAGTCTGGAGGTTTGCTTAATACCATTTTTTTGATAGGAGATCTTTAGTCACTCAATTTTAAACGATTAGATCAGGAAACAAATGTTAGGATATATTTCATTTGTGTTCCAAACTTTATACCAGATAATACTGCAATACTCTTTGCCTTGATATGGAAACAGTTAACATAGCTTATTATGACTTTGTTACATGAGAGCTATTTGTGTCCTCAGTTATGTCTTTTTTGTGTGGGGGGGTTTGCATAATATCACTTACCTACTGCTTTATTTAGAGTATAATCCTGCAGAGATGGACAATTCATGGTACTTGAAGCTAATCGTTCAGCTTGGATATATTCAATCTTTTCAGTTCATTTAATGGAAACCTCACTGATATGAAAAAGTGTTAGTTGCTAAAACAGTTTCAGACACTTTGGTTAAGAACTGAACTGTTTGCTTATTTAATTTAAGATGCAGAAGCCGAAAGTTACTGTGGTCAAATGTGTATTCAGAGTTATATTGTTGCACATGTTGTGCTGTGTTTGAATATGCTGAAACCAATGTGATCTGTCCTAAAATTGATGTTGTGTTCCTGAGAGATGAATACTCTTGTTATGAGCCATATGTAAGATCTGTGAAGAAATGTTTAAATGTGTTGAAGTTGATGCCCACAGTGCAGTTATTTTGTGGCACTTTGTTGGTTGCATGTGGATTTTCTCCGGTGGTATTTTCCTAATACCAGTTTTAAAAATAAGACCATTTGGTCCTAAAGTGATTGTATTACAACATTTCTATTTGTGATTACATTTTGCTCTTTGCCAGCCCTCATTATTTTCTTTTATATTTATTTAATGGAGATCTGAAAATTTTAATATGCTTCATAGAGTTCACTGTTACTTGACAGTTTCTTCATTCTCCATATGTTCTCATAACCTTAAAGTTTTCTCTTATAATTTTATTATGATATTATGCACAGTGTGCCCCTGGATTACAGACGGGATATGTTCTTGAAAATGTGTTCATATTGTGAAATTCTGTAATCCAAACTATATTTTTGCATTGACTTTCATGTTTGGAGACACATTTCTACAGGAATTTTTTCAGTCCACAGTTATAATAACAAAATATATTTTACCCATTTGAAATAATAGTAGGTTCAAGTTTTATGCTCTGATACTTATTCTACTTGGACTTGAATGTAATGGTCTCATTCCAGATGTCTGAAATAATTGTACTGTTCTGTACAATCGTAAATAAGATGGTAGTAGCAACCATGCTTGTAGTTATTCATTTCACATACATTCATCTGATCTGAATTTCATAACAAGTAATAATTTCTTAAATTATATAACTTTGGGCTGAAATATTTGTTGTTTTGCATTTTGTGTGTAAAAAAAGTTTTAGTCTGTATCCCACATGTCCATAAGGGCAGATTTATGGCTTGTAGCATACTGGGTCTCAGTTGCTGACATTCTTATATTCAGAGTGGCACAAAAGTCAATACCCACTGGAATGTATCGGTTGGTTAGTGTATTGATTCATGAAGAAATGGGTTTTAACAGCTCTTCCCACCAGATCCACTACCCAACACATTACACCATCTGAAATTGAGTATAAAGGATGCCTTTGCAAAAATCGGTAATGACCCAGAGCTATGCAGAACCGTTTTCTCAAGTAGTACTGAAAATCTTCAGCAGTTTATCTATGCAGAAGGTAGGCAGTTTCAACATTTATGATAGACAATCTGAACATAAGAACGACATTAATTGACATATAGACATAAATAATAATGAAGTAAAATAATACAATATGATGTTATCATTGTAGCACCATGTATGATTATTTTGCTCCAACCAGTATAAAAGGATAATGCTTGTTACTATGTCATTATGCATATTAGCAAATAGTTGAAACTGAGTGTAAGATGGCAGCAACAAGAGACACTGGAAGGAGTGCTGAGTCGGTATTGCAAGTCTGTCTTTGCCAAAAGAAGTATGTCTGCAGCTCCACTGGGTGGCTGTTGCTACTCTGTCAGATATAGTATCTTAGTATATGAGTAAATTAGCAGTACTTCCATAACTTCCCAAGTTCATGTTATGCATATTCAGCGAAGTTTTGATTCAAAATGTCACCAAGTTCTATTACAGTCAAGAATGGA